CCAGGAGCTTAACTGCCATTATTGCGAACGTATTGCCAAAGCTGTGATAGGGCATCTGCTGATAATGTCTGCACCTTTCAGAAACATCTCATTTACCCATTATCGAGGTACCTCCATGTAAGGATGCGTTTCCGAATGTGAGGCTCAATGTTAAGGACAGATTACAATGAGTACTCCGTTACCGAAAGAAGGGGTCTCTCAATATATTCTGCTCCACATCCCATTCATACGCTCTTGCTTCCAAGTATATCTCAGACCAAAACCCTAGAAGTCAAGCGTGCCCAGTGTTTTTCCCTCGCCGTTGACTCGTTTAGTATTTCCTCATTCAGCGTGAAGTTTATGAATAAACAAAAAGCCACACTTGAGGGATTGAAGTTCAAGGTAAAGTAAGAAGAAGGAAGAGTACAATGTAAGTGAAATTGAACGTAATGCTGAGCCCCTATAGAACGTTTTGTCACATTTCTTGATGGAGTTTTCCTTAAAGTTCAAAAGAAACAACTGTGGAGACTTCTTGTCTTACAGAAACATCGTTCGACTTCTTTGTAGGCATGCCGATCATTCTGGAACGTTACATCTATTGAATACAAATAGCACGTCCAGCGGAAATTATATCCAGGGGACAGCTGAAATATGTCGGCTAGTATTTTCTGTCTTGGTCTCAGCCTTTTCAACTTATGAATTTATTGAAGCAAATGCAAATAGCGGAACTATCCACAATTATGTCAAACCGCAGGCAGTTGCATTACGTAAGAAAGAATCTGGTCAGATGTGAAACATGAGAGCGATTTGACTCCGAAAACCGCAGGCAGTTGCATTACGTAAGAAAGAATCTGGTCAGATGTGAAACATGAGAGCGATTAAAGTGATCCTATTTTTCTGATTTTTGGAACACAGGCTTTGGTATAGGCTAACAATGAAATGATTAACATTTCCAACACGACATCGCCCTTCAATTTTCCTCTGTCATCTCATACTTACTTTGATACTTTGATGGTCCATCGGCAAGAGGTACTGGTTCGAAATTTGGTTCCTTAACCACAGTAAGGTAGGTAAGGTATCTGTAACTCAGCCTTTTTCACTAGCTCACTGCATCCATTTTCAAAAAGTACATTCACGTACACCTGAGAGATGCTTTTGTTCCTTATTCAGATGATGGATAAGGAACAAACGCATTTCTGAGAGCATAGACTGATTGGATAGATGTAACATTCCATAACACTACATTCGGAGCACGTGAACTCCCTAGAGCATACACGTACTTTGAAAAGAAGCTGTGGGCCTTAGGCCTTGACAAGAACCACATGCAAACGGGCTTCAAGAAGTCACCTCTATTCATCTCTTCGTCGTCATATTCTTGTTCAACTCCGGAAATGAACGAGTCTAAAAAAGCTCTCACACTAGGGAGCTTCTGCGGATTTTCTCGTTTCCTTTCACAGCGATGTGCTACTCTGCCCTCGCCATGTAACCCATAAGGGGGGAAGAAACGAATGCATGGAAACTATCGATCCGCGTCCTCGTTTTCCGATTTTTTTCTCCCTTTCTTGTTTACTGTGATGACTACAACGAAGTTTTTCCATCCGGCGATGCGCTATTAGCGCTTGGGTCCATGTTCGACGCGCACTTGAACTTGACTCCGAGCGCCTCTTATCATCAGGATAATCATGAACTGTTAAGAATGTAACATTGAACGGTATTTCAAAGTCCACCGAGCTGGAAAACGTTTTGAACGACCAGCTCGATGGAAAGGGGAACGAATGTCGACAGACGCTCTGCTGGCGGAGACGATGTGCACAGAAGTGCTTTGTCATGTGGGACAACATTTTGTGTAAAACAATGTTTGGACAAAGCAGATGGTTGTAGCTGCTCCACATTGAAGCCAAGTACGACCGTCATCGTACTGATAATCAGAATTCTTTGAAATTCAAGCTGCAGTAGGAAAACTTAGTCCACATAGTCCCCAACTTCTCTCTTGCTGTAACCTCGCCATAGTTGTTTCTGGTATAAATACTTTTGTGCCATACCAGTATGTTAGGTGGAACAGTTATTCAAACAACGGCTCAACGTTTCGAGGCAATCGTCTTCTTCAGAGGCCAAAAATGCAATTCGAGGAAATTTGCACATACAGGGTGACCCACATGAAGTGTGACGGGCAATAAAAAAAATCAACTTATGGGCTTCTGGGCTGGAGGAAGCGGTGATCGCTTGGGTGGAAAGGAACGCGATCAGCGTCAGCTGAACCTTGCACAGGGTTGGACACCAGCCCACAGCACAAAGGAGATGCTGCAATGTTGTGAAACCACGCTTCCGGGTTTTTGGGGCGAAGCAGTTCTGACCTTCAAATCCCCTGATCTCAATCCTTTGGATTTTGGTGTGTACTCGATTCTGGAGCAAAAAGCCTGCTCTTTTAAACACAGGTCTAAGGAACCTCTGAAATAAAGTGCTCTTGTAGAAGCGTGGGATGAAAGTGATTGCGCGCATTCTTGAAAACTTCCGAAAGAGGTTGGAAGCTTGCATTAAAGCGAAAGATGGTCATTTTTGCGAGATGTGATATGTTGTTTACAATTTTGTGATGATTGTGTAGGAATATTAGTTTCCTATTTGGTTTGATCTGTATAATTTTGATGATAGTTTTCTGCGTCACACTTCATGTGGGTCACCCTGTATCCAAGAAGCGCATCAACCTCTGGCGAATGAAACGACGAATTTAGAACCATAATTCGAAGTTATCACCAAAATTCTACCGCTCAAGCAGCGGGCAAAATCCATGGTCTGTCGAGGGTCAGTGCGAATGAGATTTTGCTGTCTTCCCTATACTTTGATCTTCCTTGTCAGAAATCAGAAATTTGGTAAGAGGTTAGGCGACATCGTGTGAACACGGACGAGAGATGACAGGGCTAGACTCCGCCAACGCAGCAGGGTGAGAGCGAAGATCCCTAATTGGAGTGGAATTGATCGAGGTAGTGGAACGTGTATGAAATGAGCATGTTGTGTAAAAATACGAAAACAAGTTGGAATAAATGAAGTTCGAACAGTGTCACTCAAACACAGAGATCTTGAACAGGGCTTCGCTCATGGCGAGCTAGGCGAGTACGAGGTGTGCAGGAGTGTTTGCGTGTTTGGTTGGGAGTCAACAACAACTGTTCTCTTGTACCAGAGCGTCCAAGTTTGAAAGTAAGTTCAGTAGGCGGTCAGTCATTTCGAACATGAAAAGGAGGAGGACCCGGCGTCAGCTGGGCGAGTGGTTTACTACATTAACTTGGTTGAGGTACACTGAAATGAATGAATAAGTTGAAAAATACCCATTGTTCTCGTCTATTGTTTTCCATGATGAAAAAAGTAGTATTGGCTTACCCCATCGTCAATTACGTGTTTGTTTAGGTCATTGGAAATGACGATGCCATCATCATAGTGATCTGCATCTATCTGGAATCGTAAGCATCTCATATGGAGCCCTCATCCTATTCAGGTATAAGTTCTGCGACCCTCGTGCTTTGGAATGATGATTGAATTCAGTGACAGTTAGAGTTGTCGATTTCTTCATTATTAGTTGAGCACCCTAACCCAAATAAAGTCTTCAAAGAGTCGAGACAGTGTTCGAATCAGAAGCTTACCTGGTGGTGGCGCTTAATAGTGATGCTTTTCAGAACGCTGGGCATGAATGGGTCGCCATTTCTCATTTCTATATGCCATATCAGCTGTATTCTCACGACTGCTGTTACTTTCATATATATGAAAGCATCTTGCACCTCAACAGATGAAAGTATGAGAAATCTTCCAACTTTGATCAATCTGTTTTTGGGATGCGCCTCGCACAGGACTATTGCTTGCTGTCATATGCTTAGGCTAAGGGTTTTTAATGCGTCTATGACAAGCAAAGTGCTTGCGATGGACAGCCTATGAGCAATTCAGTGATTTTGTTCTCACAAATGTGTCTGGGGCAAATTAAGTGACCTCGTGAAGATTGAAGGCTGGGTAGGCATACGCCGGATAGATTTACAGCACCCACGTCTACCTCAAAGACAGACCCATTCCTTTGTTTTCCACTAGGAATCATGGTGCTACTCGATTTCGCATACGGTCTATAATTACGAAATAAGACGTATTTTAGCAGAGAAAAACAAACATCAGGAAGGAGTGGACCTGCGATTAAAGTTCCGAAAATACTGGAATTTTCAAAGTAATTCCTGATCTCTTACCGGAGGTTGTACAACAGGTTTTTGCTCTGTTTCAACTTTTTCTTCAGTCGATGCAACAAATTCTGCAGGTATAAATATGGGAAGCCATCCTGATTCTGCTAATGGCCGTGTATTATAAGTGCAATTGGTTTTTGCATAAGCTTTTCCTAAAAGAATTTTATCACTGCTCATTTCTTTGTCTATTTGTTGTCTCTCTGTTGATTTCTTTTCCTAATATTCTGACTTCCTTACACCCTCCACCAACAAAATTACTTCTGTTAGGGGATTTGCAGGGGAAATAACTCAGTCACGGGCTCTGTCAATGCCAAGTCGCTACACTCAAAAAATCCATCACGGTAGTCTCGTTATGGGACGTCCGATTTTCTCGTATCATTCGCTAGAATACATTGTTTACTGTTTTGTTATTGTTGGCATTGCTTTCACTATTCTTATAAATTCTCCTCAATGAATGTATCTTAATGAATATTCGTACTTGTTTTATTTTTGTATGGTCATTGAAAAGGGTTGATGATTAAGGACGATTACGTCCCGCTCACCGCTGAATAATTTGGCCATTTCTATAAACCACCGGCAACCTCCTTCGTAATATCCGATGGGGATGTTAACCGTAACGCAACCACTGTCAGCAGACATCGTCGGACATATAAATGCCTGAAAGTATGTCTTCGCTGGAAACAATCAGTCTTACTTACTTCACGACAAACATGATTACGCTTACTTGGCATGATGTAGCCGGCAAGCGCTCAGCTACTAAACGCATTTTCAAGGCATCGATAACTATCGTAGCATATTGCCTGTCAATCGTCACTGTGAAATAGTGCGGTGGTTCACAACAACATATAGTTTGATCCAGCATGTCTGAAAATTTACAGTTTACATAAAATACGGTGTTACTCTTGTCACGATGGTCAACTTTTCAAGTTATTCTCTTGAAGAGATGCTGCCTATCTTGGGGCATTACTGAGAGCAAAACTTTGGCCTCAGACGGGGCTCGAAACCACACATGTGATTCTTTGGTCACCGTGGTCTTTGTCTCTAACCACCCAGACCCCGGTTTGAAAAATCTCTGAAAGCCTTATTTGTTTCAGTTCTCATAAATACTAGATTGTTGGTAAATTACAGTCCTAACACTTAGTTTCGAAGTAATTATATTAAACTGCCTTTCTTCTTTCTATAAACACCACTCATTGGTAATCCATGTGTTTCAGCATTCGGATTGCCACTTTCATCGAATTCGTACTTGTCTCCAAATGAATCTGAAACGAGTCCGTTCACTGAGTGAATTCCGTGGCACCCATCTGCCCTATTATCCCCCTAGATCACCTCATCCTATCCTGTTTTATATGAACACCAAGATCAAAGCAACCCCTAATTATGATCACCTCCCTATCATCTTTTGTTAGGGTTAAACGGCTGTTATCGTTTCTACAATCAAATATCGATATTCTCATCTTTTCTTTTACCACCATTCCTCCTCTGTAGATGCATACTACGCGCTGTCAAGCATGGTCCGAGATCAGATGATTAGCTAAGTCTTACCAATAATCCCTTATAAGAATGGTTCTGAAGAGGATCTGATGATATGGCTTTAATCCATAGTCCAATAAACGATAGTAGATAGTAGGTCGTTAGTAATCATTAGTATCGACTGATATCGTACTGTTGAAGTGGTGCTACAACCACTGATAGTCCTAATAATCTGTTCTCTCACCACTACATTTGTCCCCGACCGATTGCGTTTCTACGTTGGCAAGGGTCAAGTTATAATTGCTCGTTCAATCACAAATCGATATTGGTCGCTATCGATTAATCGGGGTTGCCGGAGCTGAACAGGTATCACTACTTTCTTTACTTCGCAATTTAACTGCCTCAGTACAAGTATTACTCATGCGGTTGAAGTGTTGCATAGATTTGTTGTCGTTTTGTGTACTTTTCGAAGCTCTTTGCTCTTCACTTTTATTGGTGAGCTTTCGGCATATGATGCCTTCGTCAGACCTTAATTATTTACAATACATTGCTGCATACAATCAATCACTATCAGTTACACTACAAAACACATATATGTATGTATATCATATATGGTCTGAGAGGCCAAACAATCCTTCCATTGCTTTGCAATCGATCAAACGGTACCAGTTGAAAACGGGGGAGAAGAGGGAGAGGATGCTCTAGAAAAGGGGCCGGCAGGCGCAAAAAATTACTCTTCGATTTTCTCAAATGCCTTCGTCAGACCTCAATTATTTACAATACAGTGCTGCATACAATCAGTCACTATCAGATACACTATAAAACACATCGAATCATACCATGTCAACCGGAAATGTTGGGAGAAAAGGGAAATGGATGGAGCTGTCGGCGGGGAACTTGAAGGGGAAATGGACAACGCTGTTGTCCTGAGGC